GTTAACACGAGAACCCTACCTAGGTTCTGTCTGTATGTAACAGCCAGCATAGCTTTTTTCACCGCAGCATGCTGAGACTTCGCGAGTCCCCTGCAGCCTGTGCCCTCTAAATGCCCTGCGCCCTTCCTGTGATGCATTGTAGGACGACCATACGAGGCAACAGTCGGGATGATACTTACTGGCATTGCGAGCGAGTTGCCCTTGGTTTTAAGATTCCCTCAACCCTAAACCCTAATTGGGAAGTAACAAGGGCTCACTAGTCACCAGCCCTTCTATGTCTCCCTGAGAAGCCCTAAGAAGCTTACCCAAACCCTACCGAAGCCTTCAACTTAACCTCAGGACCCGAATCTCTAAACCTGCACCCCTCAATCATACTTAGGGTCTACCTTAACCCCAAATCGCCTTCCTTTTTAAGGACTTAGATAAAGAGATCATAATAAGGATCCCTGAAAAGGTAGGTTTTATAGGGCCCAGGTAGGGTATAGGGTTTACCTAAACCCTAAACCCTAAACCGTTTAGGGTTTAGGGGGGCTAAAGGCTATGCACCGCAGCGCAGGATTCCCGAAGTCCTTCGAGTGCTGGTTCTCGGAGGCCCCTTCCGATTTAGGGTTTAGGGTTTTAGGGTTTAGGGTTTAGGGTTTTAGGGTTTAGGGTTTAGGGTTTAGGCTCGGTTTAGGGTTTGTCTTGTCACTGTCTTTTGTCAAGGAGTTTAGGATATCCTGTCTTGTCACTGTCTGTTGTTTAGGGCTTCAGGGCCAGGGTTTAGGGGTCCAGAGTTTTTGTTTCATGCAGTTTACTCGTTAAATGTGGAGAGGGGGGGGGCCGGGGCGACGGGGTCCGCGTCTCTCTTGCTTGGCCACTTTGGCACTTGGTGGTGGTTGGGGGTATGGGGCTTTAGGAGGTTTAGCCCCAAACCCTAAACCCTAAACCCCTAAACCCTAAACCCTTTTAGGGTTTGAGGTTTAGGTTCTGCTTTTGCCTTGGACATTTTAATCCCTCAGATGTAATCAGAGCCCAGCTCTACGTTTCCAAATAGACACGTACATGAAAACAAGGGTACCGTAAACAGGGGGTCCATATACTGGGGCCCGGGGATATTCCTATTTCAGCTTGCTTTTTTTATATTTTCTGGCATAAACCTAAAACCTTAAACCCTCAACCCTAAACCCTAATTTGGGCCTTTTAAAAACCTACAGCCCTTATACATGCCCGGTAATAAAGTTTCGTCGCATCCGCTTAGAAACACTAAGCGGAGGACGCGGAGTACAGCAGGTGAGGAATACCCTAGCCTGGCTAGCGGAGGAATTATCACACCGGAATGAAATTATGCTATT